AAGTGGGGTCCCGGGAGGCCAGGGGCGGTGCGGGCCAAGGGTCACCTGCCCCCGATGACCCGCGCCCCGCCCCCAGGCCTGCTGGAGCTGTCGCCGGTGGAGCGCGGCGTGGTGAGCATCTTCGGCGTGGCCAGCCGCTTCTTCGTGGCCATGAGCCACAAGGGCAAGCTGTACGGCTCGGTGAGTCCCCGGGGGTCTGGCGGCGCCCAGCTGGGCGCGGGGTGGGAGGAGGGCAGCGCCAGCAGGATGGGGACCCCTCTGGCCTCACCTGTGCCTGGGTGGGAGGGTGGCCAGGTCCTGGGGTCACAAGAGTAGCAGCGCCACCCTCATCCCTCCAAAGTGTCCAGGGCGGGCCTACTGGCCCAGAACCCCCATAGGAAGCCTCTCCAGGCGGGAGCCATGAGGTCCCTGGCATCCCGGCGTGGGCTCCTCTCAGCCCTGGGAACCCTTCTCTGCAGCCCAGAGGGGCGGGTCTGTCTCTAGGCTGGACACTGTGGAGGTGACATTCTCCGCCTTCAAGGTCCCCAGCAGGTTCCTGGCAGGTGGCAGGGACACCAACTGCTGGCGGCTGACCATGTCCCCTTCTCACCCCGTGAGGTTCTCGACACCCTGACTGCCCAGGAAAGACCCCTCCACCCAGGGCGAGGGCTGGGCCAGAAGGGAGCCCTGATGGCCTGGCCGGAGCGGCGGCCTGGCCCCGACTAACCACGGCCTCTGGCTTCTCCCCCAGCCTTTCTTTTCCGACGAGTGCAAGTTCAAGGAGACGCTTCTCCCCAACAACTACAATGCCTACGAGTCCTACAGGTATCCTGGAATGTTCGTAGCTCTGAGCAAGAACGGAAAGACCAAGAAAGGGAACCGTGTGTCCCCCACCATGAAGGTCACCCACTTCCTCCCCAGGCTGTGACCTCTGGAGAAACCCGGCCTTGGCCTTGGGAGGTCCCCCCAGCCAGCGAATGCCGCGGGCCGCCTTGGTGCCCTAGCTTCAGACGGAGCGTTGAATGCAAGTGTCGGTGTAAGATATTTAAGTTAATTATTTAAATGTGTATATATTGCTGCCAGATTATTTATAGTTCTGTGGGTGTGTTTCATATTTTTTTCTGAGGGGAAAAGAAAGACAAAAAAACAGACAAATGAAAAAATCAGCTCTGACTTTTCTGGTGCAACAGTGGAGAATCTTACCCTTGGATTTATTTAACTTGTCAAAAAAGTTGTCATGAGTGTACTGCTATTCTGTGCCTTAAAAAATGGTAACATGAGATTCTGATGGCCACCCCTGTAGCCGGGGGGCCAAGCATCCCTCTGTCTGGGTCCTGGGAAGCCAGCTAGGGGAGCCCCCCCCCGAACTAGCACCCTCTGGCAGCCCACCCCTCTTGTGCCCTGTTGCTATTAATCGGAGCATATCGGTTTACCCGGGGTACCGAAAGTGCGCCGTCAAAGTCTTCACTGCCCCTGTTTTTAGATCTGCCGAGACTGACCTTTGCACTTTCCTGTAGTCAATCTTCCTCGACCTACCAGATGGGAGAGACCCTCGGACGACTTTATACACTCCCCGTTTTCCTTTTTGGGATCAGCACAGCCCCCATGGCCGCGGCCATCAAGGAAAAGACAAAGCTATTTTGTAAATAGGACAGACAGGAGTTAACACCCCGCTGAGAGGCGAGAAAGGGACGAGTTGGTGTGTTTGCGAGCACAGCCCAAACCCTAGGGTCGAAATCTAGTTTGTGATTGCAGAAGCTTCTGATGATGTAATAGAACGTTTGTTTTTTGTTGTTTTTTTTTTTTTTTGAGTTGGAGTCTCACTCTGTCACCCAGGCTGGAGTGCAGTAGCACGCTCACGGCCCCTGTAGCCTCGACCTGCTGGGCCCAAGAGATGCTTCTGCCTCAGCCTCCTGAGTAGCTGGAACCACAGGAGTGCACCACCACGCCTGGCCCATTTCTTCGTTTATGGTAGAGACGAGGTCTCGCCGAGTTGCCCGAGGTAATCTCAAACCCGTGGGCTCAGGCAACCCTTGTGCTTCTGCCTCCCAAGGCGCTGGGATGACAGGCGCCCGGCTGGAATGTATTTTTTAAATAAACAACCAAACAAACACCCCCTCCCCTCCCCAAACAAACAAACAGGCTTCCCCATGCTAGAGGAGCTTTAGGCTAGAACCGACTATTATTTTGGGGTGAAATGTCCTTGTAATTGTACGAACCGCTTGGTACAGGGTTTGCGGGGAGGGGCGAGCCGCTTTCTGGTGCATTCCCTGCCCAAGTGCGTTGGACGTCTGTCTCACAAGCCTTGAAACCACCAGCGAAAGCTGCAGAAAGCTCAGGTCGGGAGCAGGAATTTTTCATCCCAAGTGGCTTTTTTTCCATCTGTAGCCAAAAAGGATTGCCGATGTGTCGGTGCGTCCCTTTCGAACCTTGTCACGTTTGAGCTATCTTTACCCCATGATTTACTTTTAGTAAGGGTAATCATCGTGAAAATATTTGCAAACAGCTGTTCCAGTGCACTGTATGGTCACAAGTAACCTTATATTTTTCTTTATATATTTTACAAATGTAACCCCTGTCGTGGAAGCCACCAAGGAGGCAGGGTCGGTGATGTTTAAAAAAAGTTCCGAGGTGATGGCAAACATTTAATTTTAATGAATGACTTTTTCGAGTTTGTACGAAATGACCTTAGCTTGCTACCAGAAATGCTCTGAATGTTTCGTCAAGACTTTAATACTCTTCTAGGATGCTTCTGAACTGTTTCCCGAATTAACTTTATGGGAGGTCTACAGACAGCAAGACTGGAACATCTGATTGGAGTTTTCGTCTTTCACATTCCTTTAAAAAAACTCTTGGTTCGAATGCAAATCAGCGACTTAAAAATACTCTCCTTACCCAAGGCCTAGAAGAAGGTAACCCCTGGCGAAACCATGAAGACGGGTCTGTACGTCTTAAACGGCTCTACAGACGACGCCATAATCGCTTCTTAATTTTTAAGTCGCACCTTAGACTCCAAGAGTGAGAAAAGGGGACCCATGAAGGTCTCCATGCTGTCTGGGGAGGTGTGGCGAGGTCACTTGTGGACTCTTAATGGATTCACAAAGTAACAAACCATGGCTATCTTTTTATTTTTATTTTTTGAGTCAGAGTCTCCGTCCTTCGTCCAGGCTGGAGTGCAGAGGCACGATCACGGCTCACGGCAACCTCGACCTCCCGGGCTCCGGTGAGCCTTCTGCCTCAGCCTCCCGAGTAGCTGGGACGACAGGTGCCTGCCACCACACCCAGCTGATTTAAAAAATTTTTTTGTAGAGATGGAGTCTCGCTATGTTGCCCAGGTTGGTCTCAAACCCCCGGGCTCAAGCAATCCTCCCTCCTCGGCCTCCCAAAGTGCTGGGATGGCAGGCGTGAGCCGCCGTGGCGGGCCACGATTATCCTAAGTGCTTCGAATTATTTTAAGACCTCCTGTCTCAGAACGCGGTCGAGTTGTCCAAAATTAAGATGTGGAGAATTCGATCACCCTTGATCGTGTCTGCAACTATCTCTTCAGCAAATCGCGCGCGATGCCCACGGGCCGTCACTGTAACTTTGGAATGTTGTACCGTTTTCAGGTTGCTGGGATGGGCGGGGGAGTCTGAGGTTTCCCTATGTTGCCACTGTTTTCAGAATCCGTCTGTAGTTTTATACAGGTGCCATCCATATATGTATGTGCTGTGCACACCAAGATTCCCTATGAAATGATAAGCGTCTATCGTGTGTAAAAAGAACCCCGCGGGGCTTGATGTAAATAACTGGGAAAGGTATTAAAAACGATGAAAACGTGCCTCAAAACGCCAAGACCTGGCTTCTAGTGGTCTTTCTACCTGGGGCCCAGCCGTGCGTGGCTGGGGATGGGCTAGGGGCAGAGCAGACGCATTTTAGCCAGCTGTGTCCACACAAATGCGGCCTTGAAAACAGGAGGGGGGTGGAGGTTTGTGAGTGTCACCAAGTCTTGCCGTGACACTGAATCTTGTAGTGTATTCGCGACCTCCCAATGGGGCTAATTCATGCCATTCCCACACTGTAACTGGCCAGAGCCTGGCCCCCCTGCTGGGCTTGGTGTTCGTGAAAGCAATTTGCGGGTCTCTGGGGTGGAGGCAAGAAGCCTGAGAGCTGGTCCTCAGAAGACCGACTGGAGATTCTTTTCCTTTTTTTTTTTTTTTGAGT